AAAAAAAAAACGATGATACTTTTATTGAAAATTGCTTTTGTTGAGAAGTAGTAAAATAAATTATAGTAAATTAATGAATTGTAGTTTTAGCTGGTTAAGTTTTCCTTTTACCTAGACAATTAAACTGGTTATGAATGACATTTAGGACACAATGTTAACATGAATTCTTCAGAAAAATCTGTTATTTTCATAGCATTCACACATTAACTCGATTATATTCCAAAATTATGAGTTATCGAGTTGAAAAGGATATTTCTTCTGTTTAGTAATCTACTTTTATTTAATGTACACATTCTTGAAGGAGAAAATTATAATTTTTGTGTTGGACTTTGATTATCTGAAAAATGATTTCTAAAAGAATGACGGCGAAAGATTTTTTTAAACTAAAATTTGAAAACTTCAAGAATTAGTGTAACTCTTTAGTTGCGTAAAATTGTAATATAGATTTGATTTTTCACTAATATTTTTAGTCACCGGTAATTCATAGGATATTAATAATATTAGAAATTTACGATGGAATTCTGTTTGAATTCAAAACATTAATTTTTTTATTTCTTAAAAAACTAACATTATATTACAACCATGTTTAAAGAGATATAAAGTCTGATCCTCGCAATATGTGTTATTCTATAGAATTATACTATAATTTTGAGAACGTACTTTCATTAATTACATTAATATTTAATCAATTTTGTCATTTTCAAATGGCTGGCTTGAATTAAAGCGCGATATTTTTCCCAATAAAAGATCCGAAACCTTTAAAAATCTAATTTGTGAAATGGGAACTATTTTTCTTTTTTTTTTGTGAAAAAAGAAAGGTGTTTATTCAGTTCATTTCGTTTATGTATTTTGTAAGGTTTAATTGGGGAATATTGAAGTAATTATGACGCAAATTTATTTAATAGATGTTAATTAATCAATGTTGCCTCAACGTCGTCGGCGCTATACATTTCTAATTTATTAAACTCTAATTACTAAATGTTATTAATTAAAACTACGCAAAAATAACCGGAATAAAAAAATAACTGAAAAATTAAGACAACGAAATTAAAAAAATTACAATATAATAAGTAAAATTATAAAGTTAAATAGCGAAGGCAAGGAGAAAGAGGTGTATATATGCAGCAAAATAAAGGAAAGCGAACTGCGAAAAAAATATTAATTGTACATCCATCTCTTTAGAACTCCAAATTCCGGTTAATTAACCTTTAAAGATTTTTAGGCCTTACTATAAAAATCGATTTTAAACATTTACATTTTAAGCGAAATTTCCTTTTTTGAATTTCTATGAATTGGAACACTTCGGACCTTTTAATAATTTAAACCTTTTAATTAATAACGAACTTTGCTGCAAAATAATTTAGGAGCGCTGCTGCCACGTGAACAAATTTTTAAGACATGGGAAGATGCTAGGAAAATCAGTCTTTGGGAATCTTTTAACAAAATTTTGATTTTATTTTATATTAAAATGTAATAAGGTCTTAATTTTCGTCAAAAAATTCTCAGAACCTGATTTTCCTAGAAAACATCCCACAGAATCAAAAATATTATTTATTAATTAATAAACTCGTATTAATGCAAATAAACAAATAAAAAATTTTAATCCATCTTTCATACAAGTATTAATAAATAGAATTTAATATCGGTCAGAATTACTGCCTGTCCGATTATGAAGTTTCAGTAAAAAAAAGGACTTTTTTAAAAAACTCTTACTAATGTTACAATCAGTTCAGTTCTTAATGTTATATTTATAAAACAAATGTATGGTAAAGCAGAAAGATTATATTATGAAATTATTACCATTTTAACGTAAGGGTGGTTATCGCCTAGAACAAGTTTCGTAAAGAATTGGAAGTTCCTTCAAAGGTGTAAATGGTTAATAAAACGATGTAAAATTATAGTTATATAAAAAATAGAAACTGTAAATTACGGATTCTTTCGGACTTTTTTATTTTGTTCTGTTTTGTTTATTAATAAACGTGAATATGCGTTAAATTCAAATTTAGAAATAAACTTAATATCGAAAGTGGAAACGACCAAGTTTCACGTGATGGCTGCAATGGTCAATAGAACTCAGAACAACAATTGCTTCTAATCTTTTTAAATTTTTAAATTCATAATATAGCTAAACGAACTTTGTATCACAAATGATAAAATTGCTAATTTTACTACTTAAATAATAAGGATAATGTATTAGATTTGCTATATATATTATAATGTAGTATTACCAGAAATTCTCATAATATCACGTTGCTTCCTTTTTTGATGCCATTTATAACCAAAAATTCCAATTGCTAGAAAAATAGTGAAGCAGATAATTCCACTTATTGTACCAATTATAACTTTCATTTTATTTAATTGATCTGATTGATCTTCTGAAGTATTTGAAGAATTTGTAGCTGTTGAAGGTGCTGTAGTATTTAAATATGTAGGTTCAAATCTATTAACCCAAGTATAATTTCTAATATCCAACAAATAAATTTTTGAATTTGTATCAACTGGATAATTATTTTGTTGAGTAACATTTCCTATAATACAAAAAAGTTAATATTTAACTTAAAAGTTTATACAAAAGTAAATGCAATGTAAAATAAATCATTACCGAAAGCGACAATCATATAATTTCCATATAAATCTGCTGTATGAGATGTAAGTGATGGAACTTCACCAACATTTGATGATACTTCTGGCACAGTCCATTTAAATGGAGTTGTTTGAGTATTTAAGACCGCCAAATCTGGAGTAACTTTATAAACACCAGGATCTGTATAGTTCTTTGACCCACCATAAATAATGATTCTTCCATCAGGAGCTATAAATAATAATATATTTTTAATATATTTAATAAAGTTACCATACGCTATAATACATAAAATAAATTTTTCCTCGTAATATTATTATACATGCCTAATACAGCTGAATGAAAAGAGCGGGGTGCAATTATAGAATCACTTTTCGCTAACTTAATAATATCAAATATAAATTATATAAATTAAAACATTTATATATTACATATATAAATTTCATCAAAGGAGTTTATAATAATAGACAAACTTACCACCACTGACCAAGTTCCCAACTTTGTATCATAAAGATTTATTCGATTAATATCTACTTCTTGATAATTCAATCCAACAATCATCATACCTCCAATATATACAATAATACCATTTGATAATAATGTCGCGCTAAAATCCCCTGATGGTACTGGAGCATTGATCATAGAGCCAAATGACCATGTTAAATCAACAGTATTTAATATTGCCATATCATTAAAAGCTTGAACAGTTGGTGATCCTATTAAATAATCCGCCAATCCACCAAAAACATAAATATTTCCAAAATCATCGACGACAACATGAAAATCCTCACGTCTTTTTGGCTCTTGTCCTTTTATTACAGGGATACTCCATTTACCTGATTTTGGATTAAATGCATATACCAGCGAAGTAAAAGAATCTTCATTATTTTGATTTCGCATTATTCCTCCAATGAGGTAAATAGTTGGATTATTATCATTTTTAGTTAGTGCTGTAGCTGCCCAACAACTCATAAAATTCAATCCTGAATCAGATGTTTTATCATTCCATAACGGAAACTCTACATTAAATTGTTGAGATAAATCTAGATATATCACTTCATTTATACAATTACCAATAGGACCAATGTTTCCTCCAAAGAAATAAAGTTTATTTTCAACAAGAGTAGAGGAATGAGCATAACGTCCTAAAGGTGTAAACGACTCGACTCTAAAGAGAAAATAGCTTAATGTAAATAAAAAAAGCAACTTATAATTTTTGCAAGTCATAATTTCAAATGATTTTTATTTTATGTAAAATAAAATAATTATTGTGAAATATAAATAAACAATTTAGTGGCTGGCGTAAATGATACTACCGAATAATGTCTTACAACATAACGAACATCGAGTTGGTTACACAAGATATTGTTCACGGGGTATGATATATAAAGTATTTTACAATTCAACACACCCTGTTGTTACAGAATATAATGTCTTGATCAAGTTTGTGATGGGTCCGTTTCCGAACAGATGCAAGAATCCCAACTCAAACAGAATTAAAAAAAAAAAGGTCGTAGGTCGGGGGAAAAAAATGATCGACGCCGCCTGTATTACTAACTAGCTGCGGCGTCGTTTCAATCTGCCGCCGACTTTTGGGGGTTGATAGAAAACCGGTACGGTACGATTATGCAGATCAGTATTTTTTCGCGGGAAATTTGAATGCACTGGTCCTATATATAAAGCATTATTATAGAACCAGTACGGTACGGTACGAATTTAGAAAATTCGTTCTGGTTCGTACTGCATCATTATTAGAATCTTAAAGTTTATATTTCTGACAAAGTTCAACGGTATGTTTGTCAAAATAACTTTAATTAAATTAAATTAAAAAGAAAAGCGTTACTACATAAAAATTAAAATAATTTAATTACAAAACAATAATTTATTTTATTATGATGCATTTGTACTTCAATCAAAAATGATTATATTATTATTTTTTTTTATTGAAATAAAAAGGAATATAATCAATAATCGGTTAAAATTTTTAATTTTAAAACATTACAAACTTTATAATAAATTCACCGTGTTATCAACGTCTATTACGAAGGTCATACCGTACCGTACTGGTCTGGCGAATCGTACCGTACCGGTTTTCTATCTACCCGTACTTTCATAGGTCATTTTTGCTTTTTAATTAAGAGATCCGGATTACATAGCCTTGATAATTGATCTTTTTAAGTAAAGAATTCAGTTTTGCTCTTTTTTAAATGGGAAGAACTCAGGATTATTTAGGAAATTTGGATTCTAGCCTATTAATGAGCGTCGGATGAGTCAGTAATGGATTATTCTATTTTATTTCCTAATTTCTTAATAAATTTTTGTTTATTCTCTTCGTTAATTATCTTTTGATATAATTTGTAAATTGATCAACGATGGAAGGGGTTATTTAACGTCACCGACATTATCTTTAAAGCTAGAAATGGATATGAGTATGGGATTAAGGAATATAATGGGATTTGTTGCGATAGTATGGGATAATGAGATATGGAAAGGATATGGTCTCACATACCCAATAATTGATGATCCTAAAGACATAAATAAACATTTTTACGGATTCTTCTTATTTCAAAAGAGATAGGGAAATTGCAAAGAGTAAAAGTATTTATCATAAGTGATAGAAATAAATAATATGCAGGATAAAAAAGGAGGAATGTTTGTATACTGTGTTGGCGAATGACTTTGAATTGACATCAATTTTATTATAATGTTAAAGTCAAAATGATCAAGGCCATATAAAAAGTAGATAAAAACCTTATAATTTGTCATCACTGTTGATATATGCAATAAAAAGATTAAACATACTTCACGGATATAAGACTTGCACAACAGCAAAAGACTAGCTAATAAAAATGTGCTGTTGAAGTTTGAGATACTGTATGCGTAAGCAAACCTGTATTATATATAGAGAATAAATTATCACGTGAAAAAACACGTTAAAGTTTAAAAAGAAAATGGATAAGTTGAACGTGTCGTGTCTAAACAAATTAATCTAATTTGAAAATTACTCACTCAATACACTAGTATGTTTATATATATCAATGATGAAACATTAACATACAAGTGCAGGGTTTGTAAAATTACTCTTACTGTAAATGTTATTAATTAGATTTTTTGGCTTTGGTTTTAATGGTCATTATTTTTGTTAAAGTATACAATAATCTTTCTCACTTACTATAAGAAAAATAAATTTGGCCATATACTTAAGGAAATAATACTGAATTGAGAGAACAGCTTGCATTATTAAAGCTGAATTTCAGAAGAAATTTGGTAAAAGAATCTCATTAACGTGTGTAAACGAAGGATTAACAGATAATAATGAAGCTATTATCGTCTTTGTGTATGTCTTAGAATATACACCTGAACTATTAGTTTACCATATGAAGTTCATTTCGAATTTCATCAACATTCATTTCATAAAGATCTTATGCCTTGCATTTGTATTGGCAGTTCAAGTAACCGACGTATGCACATTTGGAGGGTCGTTCCAAAATACAGAAGAGCTCGATAAGAAATGTTTATCTGATTTTGGAAGAGATTTGAAGATGGAAATTCAAACTCATAATCAATCTTATTAAGAAGTAACCGATAATTAACGTGTTTAGTAAATTTTAATAGGTCTTGTTCAAAATAACAGGATTTTTAATTCATCATTACGGGCTTTGCATGTTTAAACTTTCTAATATTACAAAAATAAACTTGCGATAAAATAATTTGAAAAAAAAAACTTTGAAAGGTGATAATATTACACAACACATCATTGTTAAATCAATTACCAACTAATATAATAAAGAAGATTTTAAATTTTCTGGGTAGATAGAAAACCGATACGGTACGATTCGCGGTACGATTATGCAGATCAGTAATTTTTGTGAAATTTGACATCGTACCGTACCGTACTGGTCCTATAATAATTATATAACCAATCCAGTACGATGATGGTATAGACTGATTTTATAAAATTCGTACCGTACCGTACTGGCCCTATAATAACTAAGCCCTATTATAGGGCCAGTACGGTATGGTACGATGTGCATTTTTGTATTTTTTTTTTTTTTTTTTTATCTAATATATTTTTTATATTTTTTCATTTTTTTTTAATTCCTTCCCAGTAAATATAAATATTTTTAATTGATCTTTATTTATATTTTATTATATTTTTTTTTTTAAATCCCCCCGGAATTTTTTTTTTTTTTAATTAATTTTATTTACCTACCGGACTTTTTTATTTTATTTTTATTTCTATTTTTTTTTATTATTTTTATTCCCCTCCCGCCAGACTTTTTATTTTTTTTTTTAATCTTTTATTCTTTTCTTTCATTTTGTTGTTTTTTTTTATAATTTTTTTCTTTTAGTTATTTTCGTTCATTTATTTTTTTCTTTTCTTATTAATTTTTATTTTTATTTCATTTCTATACTTTTGTTTTCATTTTATTTATTTGATTTTTTCATTTTTTTTTTTTGCAATTTTTCTTTTTTACTTTTTTTTTTATTTCTTTTTTCTTTTTTTATTTTAGATTTATTTTTTCTTTTTCGTTTTTTTCAATTTCATTGCGTACCGTACCGTACTGGTTTTTCATATACTCAAATTTTCTTAAACAGCAAAATGATTTTCATCTACGTCATGTAATGTGATCAGCCTAAATTTATAATTTAATTGTTATATATAGATTCTTTCAAATTTTTGAGTTATCGATGGATGAAAAGAATTAGGTAATTAAATGTTGAATATATTAGAGCTAGCCACAACAATAAAATAATTTCTGAATAGTCAGTCAGAACGAAAAGAAAAAGAAAGCAAACCAATTTCATTCGATCACCAAAATTTTGATTATACTAGTCCAAGATAATAATTATAAATATAATCTCGTGATATTATAACGAATAAGGTTTCAACGCTTAGCATCCGTCAAGGTTAAACTACTTAAAGAAATGTATAATTAGGTATATCTAATTTTGAATAGATTAAAAAATCTTTTTATCCTGAAATAAAGGACAGAAAATCTATCCAAATACGTAGTTAAAAATATGATCCTATATTGTTTTCTGAACATCTTAAGATTCAAAAATCTTCTGGAGACCAATAATTATAAGTTATTGTGCTTTGCAACGATTAATATCAAAATTATTGTCCAATTCATAATGACGATCAGTTATATTT